CATACAGTTCATGTATTATGAATGTGGTACTCTGTAATTTGCATAGCATGACTGGATTTTCTAATTTGATGGACATATTATTCTTTTTGTAGAGCATGGCTGCATTTATTCGGCACTCCCCATCCCCCCTCTACTTAAGGATTATATGCTCATCAATGATGTTTTTTTATTTGTCTTGTGTTATACTTTATCATACATAAAGTCATGCATTCCTAATGTTTTCAATGGTAGCAATGGAATCTGAGCCTACATTGAGTGACGCACTAAAGGAAATTCGAAGAAAAATGACACGAGGTAAAGCTGCAAATGCTGCTAATACATCACAGCAACCACCAGAAAGAGAAATCAAGAGAAGAAAGACAACGAAGGCAATCTTAAACTCACAGACTGCAGGGCCATCACAGCCGCATTCAGAAAGTCAAGTCAATCCAAAAAAGAGGACAAGACCAGCCACAAAACCACGAAATGCTGAACATAGATCTGATATTGAATACTTTAGCACTAGAATGGGTCCAAGAGTTATGCATCAGCTTATTAAAAGACTATCAGCATAGCAAAAACAGGCTGTAACTGATATTGGGTTTGAATCAATCTTAAGTCTTCAACTGAACACCAGTGAGTCTCAGTTGGTGGAGTATCTAGTCCACGCCTTTGACGTTTTCAAGTGTGACTTCGCATTGGAAGGTGATAAGCTACATGTTGCTGAGAGGGACATTGAATGCACTTTAGGCATCCCGCGAGGCGTAAAAGAGGTGGAGGAGGCTCCAAAATTTGAAGAGAATGGAAAAGCTGAGTACAGGGCTCTATTACGTACTTGGAGACAACGGTGGGGAATACAAACCGGATCACCAATCATAACAAGGATGGGAGACACAATTATTGACAGGGGAGATTATGGAGATGAGTTTAAGAGAGATTTCATGGTCTTGATTGTTTCTTCAATGCTCAGTGGATTCCAGACACGGTACTGCAATGTCAGAATCCTGAACTCTTTGATTGATGTTAGTGAGATCAAGAACTACAATTGGTGCAGCTATACCTACAAGTACCTTATCAAATCAATCGACAAGAAACAGAAAAAATCTGGTGCTGTGTTTACTGGTCCAGTCACATTCCTCCTTGTAAGTCCTTGATATGTCTCTACTTTATATTATTATGTTGTAAATATAGAACTATATGCTTATGAATGTACACCTATATCATTATGAACATACAGTTCAAAGATTATGAATGTAGTACTCTGTAGTTTGCATGTTGTGAATATAGAATATATATGCTTATGAATGTACAGTTATATCATTATGAACATACAGTTCAAAGATTATGCATGTGGTACTCTGTAGTTTGGATGTTGTGAATATAGAAATATATGCTTATGAATGTACAGTTATATCATTTGCAGAGCATGGCTGAATTTTTTAATTTGATGGACATATTGTTCTTTTTGTAGAGCATGGCTGGATTTATTCGGCACTCCCCATCCCCCCTCTACTTAAGGATTATATGCTCATCAATATTGTTTTTTATTTGTATTGTGTTATACTTTATCATACTTTATCATTATGAACATGCAGTTCATACATTTTATGGGGGATTTTGCAGCTTTTCTATGTTGATAGAGTCCAATTCAAGGGGATGAAAGTCATTAGAACACACCCTACCATTCTTTCGTGGACAACTAAACTTTTGAGAAAAAGAGTGGATGCAGAGAAGAATTCTGGTGGATTTGGAAAGGGAAAGGTTATCCCACGAATGAAGAACCCTACTACAGTTCGCAATGTTTCTGCTTTAGCTTGTCCTTCTGCACAAGTAGTTCCAACGATTTCAGTGCCATCATCCAGTATAGATAGAGTGACGCAAGTACTGCAAAGGCTTGCTGCCGATGTCATTGAGTTTGGAGAAGCAATGACTGAGGTTGGAAGGGAGGGGGCACCTGTGGAGGTGATAAAGAAAACTTTTTCTGGTATTTCAAATATGATTTCTGTGGCAAGCACAATGCAAGCAGCTCCAACCCCAACAGCATCGCAGCTAGATGACATTTTCTTTGGTCAAGAAACTTTTACAGCTGCAGTGGATGCTTTGGTAGAGGCTTTTCAGAAAACAACCAGGCAAATGGAAATAGAAGCTCCATCTTTTGATCTAGGAATTTCCCTAACCCCAGCCCCATTACATAAGAGACCAGCAGGGCATAGCACAACGGAGGGAATACAATTGGATGTCCTTGTTGACAGCATTGCATGTGGAGCTGGTTTGACAACCTCCAACAACTCTAAAGAAAAATCAACTGATGCTGTTTCAACCTCCGGCAACAAGGGAAAAGCTCCTTTAATTAGGGTTCCATTCACGTTAGATTCCCCTGCCACCCCTGCTGCTGCTGCTGCCCCTACTGCTGAGCTTGATGATATTGATATGTAAATATATGCTTAGGTTTCATATATTTTGAATGCAACTAATATGATACCTATTGCATGTAACTGATATGCATTTTATTAGTTATTAATCTACAGTTAAGTAATTATGAATCTACAGTTGAGTAGTTATGAATATACAGTTTCGTAATTATGATTCTACAATTTATGTATTATAAATCTACATTTTATGAATTATGAATATACACTAGGTAAATTGTTAACATATACTTATTAAATTGATAAATATTCTATTGTATTATTATAACTTCCTACTTGTATTTTTTGTATAAATACAGAGCATTGAATGAGAGTGAGACTGATATTGAGGATGTCACCATCCGAAAAAGGCCAAAAAGAACATTCAAGAATATCCCGTTGAATCTACGATCTCCTTATTGGACAAAGAATGCAAAATATATTCGCAATACCACTGTTAAGGAAAGGATCGCTTCAAATTATGCATTCATGCAAGATTCTGATAATCATCCAAATGAGTACGTTTGAAATCTAAATATTTAATAAACTATTTAATTACTTAAGTATTTACCATGTATTAACTGATTATTTTTTATTTTTTTTGGGTGTTATAGTGAGTTACTGTTCAGCTATAAGGATTTCTATTTGACAAGACAACAGTTCCTAACAATGAGTGAAGGAGAAATATCAAACAGTCTGATAGATGTGTGGTCTTATAGGCATACATTACGCAACATCAAACGAGCACCGGGACAGCCAAAACGTGTGTTCTTCAGCACAATGGTATATGTAAGTATCTTTTGACTTGCAAGCAACTGTTATTTGAATTTCAATTTACAGTATGCAAAGTTCTCATTCTCTTCATAAATGTTTTTTCATTAGCTGCAACTTGAACCAACAGACGAATGGATGAAGAGTCTCCCACTTGATAAAAAGAAGCAAAATTTCAATGAGAGGTTAAACTATGAGCTGAGTATTTTTGGAAATCTTGATATCAGTGATGCACAATTGGTAAGCTCTATTACCCACACTCAATATCCATAACCAAAACACTGCATATTCATAATTGCTATACTATATATTCATAATATCCATACTGTAGATTCATAATTCTTGTACTATAACTTTTTTTTTCTTCAAAACAGATATTTTTCCCTGTGTATCGACATGGACACTTCTTTGTTATTTGCATCAACACGATTTCATCTAAGCTTGAAGTGATAGACAACAAGGCCCTACCACCTGATGTTACAGAAGAACTTAAGTATGAAGATTGCCCTCGATTATTGGTAACTTATCCAAAAACTTTAACTTCTTGTCATTTGAAATATATGAAGTATGATGCATAATGAACACTGACATATTTTTTGTGTAGCTAACTGCATTCCAGGAATACTTGACAGCAAACAGTTCATCCTTGTACTAGAAAATAGAAGATATTCCTATAGAGGTGCTTCCTATGACCTGGAAAGAGACTGAAAATTCCATTGACTGTGGAATATATGTCATGAGACATATGGAATCATATAAAGGAACTCTAAAGAATTGGAACCCAGGATTCAAAAGAAATTCTAGTGTAAATGTAAGAGGAAAACATATTACTTTCAGATTTTTTATTTTTTATTTTTTTATTTTTTTTTCCATTGCATGAGACTTATTATTTAATGTTCTTCATTTGTAGGCTGATTTCATCTATGGGTTGCGAGCAAAGTATGCTGCTACAATCATAACGTGGGAAGAGAACACAGAAATGCACAGGGTTATGAAAGCAGCAAGGGATCTGTCCGACCTGAAATGAATTTGAAATACTGTTATTTTGAACATGGTTGACTGAACAATTGTGAATTCTGATTTTTGATATTACGAATTGTGTAGTTGGATTGTGGGGATGTATATTTTTGCACATGTGACCATGATTCTATTATTATGACTTTATATTTCAAACATGTCTATTTTTGCACTTGTGACCATGGTTCTAGTGTTATGACTTTATGTTTCAAGCATATGGTTCTATTATTAATTTGTGAACATGTATAACATATTTGATATCTATAAGATTATGAACGTACAGTATTATGGTTATGAATGTACAGTTATGGCATTATGTATGTACTTGTATTATGAATGTACAGTTTTGTGGTTATGAATGTACAATTATGATATTATGAATGTACAGTTTTGTGATTATGAATACACAGCTTTGGAATTTTGAACACATAGCATTGACATTATAACCTTATAATTATGAATATATAGTGGTAAAACTTATTATTTTCAACTTTGATGTTTGAACCTCTTAATAGACATAATAATTAAATATTAATAATATATACAAAAAAAAAACTTGTAAATTAACATGAAAAATAATACGATTCTACTGTTAATTTGTTGAACTAAATTACGTAATTCATAACTATGATATTATGAATATACAATTATGGAAATATGAATGTACAGTTATATGATCATGAATGTACACTGTCAACATAGATGTTTAAACCTCTTTAAAAAATAAAGAACAAGTATTAAGAATATATACTGCAAAACTTGTAAATGTATATATAAAAGTTTTGAATATAAAGTTCAAATCTAACCAACTGACATATCACAATCTCAGTCTGCAACTACATTCTCATCTAAACTCTTATTAAACCGAACAAACTGTGAACTACTAGAAGTTGGGTGTACAAGATATCCATCACCAGCAATCTCAGATATATTTTCCAAAACCAGTGATTGAACGGCACCCTTTATATTTGAAGCAATCTTGTTTGCAGCACTCCTTCTTCCCCTTGCTATAGTGTACTTCTTTGCAATAATACTACTCCTCCTTTTATTACGCACACCTTTCAATCTCCGGCTTGAAGGATCTTGAACAATACCATTTGAAGATGAAGCACCACACCCTTCAATATTCATTTCCCCAATCTCAGCTTCAATCAATTTCTTTGCATTCTCAACAGCTTCATCGCAAAACTGTCTAGTTACACTATTGTCTTGACTTGAAACAACCAATTTTTGAAACTTCCTACTAATCTCAACAACCCAAATTGAAGGGGGAACACCAACATTATAAGACAGTAAATCAAAGTTCACATTCCTAAGAGCTGCAACCTTTTTGGTCCATCTTTTCATAATGTACTTGTCCGGAATACTAGGAACACAGTTTATATCAAGTATGCGTAGACAATGACAACAGAGGATTCCCATTTCAGAAAACAGTTTGCAACTGCAAGAAATGTCAATATTAATTGGCTTAAAACTAACTTCATGCCTTATAATATCTACATCCGGTCGCCACACATGATACTTATATTGACACCCATCATTCAACACAATCTCTTGGTGGCACGCACTGCCTTTCATTAACTGTTCCTCAAACAGAAAATAGATTTCAATTGTATACACCTCTCTAGCATGTGAAAGAAGTTTCACATTGTCAATCATCATGGCAGGTACACCTTGAGCACATCGAAAGTCTTCACCATTTTCTTTACTTCTCCACTCAGAAATAACACTAACAAACGATGAGTAGAAATCACACAAACCAGCAGTCTTAGACAGCCTTCTAGAAATTGAATGATTAGTGGTTTCACTCCTTTGTGAAGATAGAATACCCCCAGAAAAATAATCCTTATTGAAAGCTGGACACCACTTCTCCCTACAATCATAAAGCTTCCCTAGCCATGTATTCTTGTGACACTTAAATTCAGTCACCATCCTGAAAATTATGTATTGTATATTCATAATTCATATAATGCAGATTCATAATTGCAAATATTTTATATCCATAGTTAATATAATGTAGGTTCATAACAGCTAAACTGTATATTCATAACTTCTATACTATATATTCATAACTGATGTTCTGTATATTCATAATTCAAATAATGCAGATTCCTACTTGCATATATTTCATATCCATGGCATATATTCCTACTTCCAAATATACTAGCTAAACTGTAAATTCATAACTTCTATACTGCAACTTCATAACCTATAAACTGTACATTCATAAACAAAAACCCATAAACAGAAACATACCTAGTCCAATAGAATTCAAATTCAGCTTCAGTGTCTGTGTATTTCAGCAAGCAGTTGAAGATATCCATGAACTCCTTATTGTTCCTTAACGTCTTGATATGCTTCTTCGAATTCTCACCAATATGCCATATGCAAAGACGATGGCGTGATGATGGAAAAACTATAGAAATAGCAGCAGCCATGGCTGCACATTGATCCGTCATAATCGATTGTGGACACTTGTCATCCATAGATCTTAAAAAGGCTTTAAACAACCACACAAAGGATTCTATCCTCTCGTTCTTCAAAAACTCACAACCAAACATTACATTCATACAATGATGATTCATCCCTACAAACGGCCCACATATCATATCATATTTGTTAGTGCGATATGTTGTATCATGCACTAACAAATCTCCAAACAATTCATAATCCCGTCTCATTTGACCATCCCTCCAAAAAAAAATTACACAGTCTTGAGTCAGAATCAACTTCAAAATCGAAAAAAAAGTCAGACTCATTAGACTGCCTCCTCCTAAATATTTCAATCAACGAATTTGAATCAGTTCCATCTAAACTCTTAACTGTGTCAAAAGCCAACGAATTATAAGCATCACGACTAGTGAAACCAACCAATGGAGACCCGCCTGATTGGTGTTTCAAAAACCTAATACCCCCTGCCACCCCAACTCCACTCTGCTTCAAATCTTTTAAACATGAAAGCTGGTTACTTCCCACTCTCCTATGTGAACGAAGTAGATGACTCTTATCTAAATCACATAGCTCATGGTTGTGCACCTTCATATGTTTTGCAACTGTCCACAATCCATCACCCCCCACATCAAACTGAACAAATGCACCACACCCTGTCCTTGTATCAATTTTTGAATAAAGCTTAACACCACCATCTGCCTTACACTTAAAACCAGCCTTAGAACAGTAAAACCTCTTCATTTGAATTGTCTTGGTAGATGCCTTGTAACGTTGTTTACCCTTCCTCACACTAAAACCAACTCTATATGCATGTTCATTATACAAATCAAAAGCTTCATCACCATTACTTACTACAACACCAACCAAATCTTCATCAACTGCAATTACAAAATATATAACCTCAAGTATAACAAATAATAACATTTGATGGAAATATAATTCCAACGTAGAGGGGGAGAGGGGAATGCCGAATAAATCCAGCCATGATCTACATAGGAACAGAATTTCCATCAAATGATAAAAAAATATATATAACATTCACTGAACATTATGAATATAAACTCATAACTCCATAGTTGTATATTCATAACTATAAAACTGTACATTCATAATTGCATAACTGTATATTCAAAACTACATATCTGTTCATTCATAATTTCACCCTACATACTCATAATTTCATAGTGTATATTCATAACTTCATCAATCTATTCACATAAGCACAATACATATATGGTCAAAAACATCATTCTAGCAAATAAAAACCATCACAAATCACCATACTTGATCTGTACTTATTGAATAAAACATTCTAATTAAGAGTAAACACTGGTAAAAAACCTGGAATGGAAGAAGATCCATCAATGTTTAAATCTCCTTGATCTGTACTTAATGAATCACCCACCAAACCTTCGTTCACTGAAAATACATAAACAGTGTACACATAGCAATCAAATATATAAACATACAACTGTAAAATTGTTGAACATATAACATGCAACTTACTGACATTCACTTAACAAATAGCTACAGAGTACCAAAAAATGTTATGAATATATAGTTCACACAGTATGAATGTACAAGTCAATCATTATGAATGTATAGTTGCAATATTATGACACAAGCAAACTGCAGAGATTTATGAGCATTGTAAACACTCCAAAATCTGAAATCACCTGTAAAATCTACCCAAAATCGCATACATTGATTTCAATAACCAGCAAAACCTCACCAAAATCTCACATATTGTACGCAATCAACAACCACAAATTCAAAAAAAAAACCATACACATACACCAAATTTGATCGCATTAACGCACACAAATATACAATCGAATTCAGTTTTTACCTAATAAATCTCAAAACACAAAATATCAAGTATATTCAAAATCGCAAAATACCTCCATCGCTCTGATTTGTTGCCTCATCCATCAAAGAACTCTTTATTCAAATACAGATGATCAACAAACTCTGCGATTGCGATATAGAATGAAAGAAGGAAAGAATAGATAGAAATCATAGCGATATAGAATTGCAATATAGAATGAAAGAAGGAAAAATTGCGATATAGAATTGCAATCTCAAATTGCCAAAACGAAATAAGGAAAGAATAAAATTAATGACGCCGTTAACGGCTTAACAAACGCAATTTTTTTTTTAAAATTAGAATACCGCCGTTTTCCCCTAAAACGACGGCGTTTCGGACTCGTGTCCACAATGCATAGTGGACACGAGTCCATAGCATAATTTGCGAATTTATACATGTAGACCAAACACCAAGAAATACAGGCCCAAGAAAGATTAGTCCAAATACTATAAATAAGTCTAAGGACCCAAAAGCAATATATATTATTTTTAAAAGATATAGCCCAAAAAAAAAACAAATTGGGCCAGTTATGGTCTTATAAAAAAACACACATTATTAAAAAAAAACAGACAGGGCCAAGAGATCCAAAACTTGGGTTCAGCTAATAAAATAAAGGATGAAACATTGACACCATAGAAGTTTCATCAGCATACACGCGGCCAGACAAGAGAGAGAGAGAGAGGGAGACGCGTAGAGGTGAGAGGTCGCCGGCCGAAGCCATCACCATCGCTCGCCACTATCACGGCGCTGACCAGACGGGAGGTCTCCTGCGTCGCCATCGCCGCAAAGCATCAAACCACCGCCGATCGTTACCCCAGCACCACCGATCGATGGTGCAGATCGGAAAAAAAGGAGGTCGATCAGCCAAGAAACCCACCGCATCACCCGAGACGCGCCGCCATCGCTCTTCCGGAGCGCCGCTCGCAAAAAGCGTACAGGTTTCGTTTTGTATTATTTCCGAAAAACAGATCGGAAATTTTGCGCCTTTTGTTTTTTTTTTGTTTTTTCGAAATCTATACATGTTCGAAAAAATAATGATAAATGTTTCAAAAATTTTACACAATCTGGGAAATATTTTGAAATATTTCGTCAAGACATAGCTATCAAAGGTATATTTTTTCTTTTATTTTCAAAAACTTAGTTTGATCAATTTTTTCTTCAAAATCTGCATAATTAGTTTTTAGCCTTCTTGTTGTAGTTGATAAGAATGATATTTACTAAGTAGCCTTAATATTCTATCCAAACAACATGTGCATAAGTAATTTTACCCTTGTTGTTGTTAAAGCTATAGAATAGTGGTTGTAAACTAAAATACGGAGTTACAATATAGAACAATAAAGATAACAAAATAAGAAATAAAACCAAAAAAAACATAGCATATAAAGGAATTCTAAAAAGTGCATACTCTCAAAAACAGACTGCAAGTAAAGAAAAAAACACTAAAAAATCAATACTTAGCTGACTTTACATGTATAAAAAGAGAATCTCCACTGGTTCATTGCATTTTGTTCATGTAACTTGGTTTCTGAATACCCTTAATTGACACTATTCTTTATTGAAAGATAAGAATAATCTTCCACCTTTTCACTGGTACATGCTACCCCTGCAAAAAAAAAAAAAACAAAATTGCAATAACTTCCAACAATTGGTGAATCATTTCCAGATGTATCTTCTTAAGAGAAGCATGAACAAAATCAATAAGCCTAGAACAGTCTAATAGTTCTCTAGATGCTCCTTGAAACATCGCATGAACAAAATTCCCCTGCAATATTTAAAAGGAAATAAACCATATACTGTGTTAAAGAAAAAAAAAAAAAAAAAAGGTAAAACGGTAGTACTCAGCTGGTTGAATAATTTATCTATTGTATTTAAATGCATACATCTTGTTCAAGGAAGAGTAGGGATGGCAACGGGGCGGGGCGGGGGCGGGGAGTATACTCCCCGTCCCCGTCCCCGAAACCCCGTCCCCATCCCCGTCCCCGTCCCCATCCCCGGCGGGGAATTAAAAATAGTCCCCATCCCCGTCCCCGCGGGGAATTTGGCGGGGACGGGGATTCCCCGTCCTCGATCAATTCTTAGTTAAAATATAAAATTAGTGTAATTTTTAATTTTAAAATAAAAATTTAAATCTTAATTTTAAAAAAAATTATATATATATATATATATATATATATATATATATATATATATATTACATAATGCTACGGTACACAGTAGCAATGCTACTGTACACAGTAGCATTAAGTAATATATATATACTATTATAACTAAAATAAGTAGTATTAGCAATGTACTGTGTACCGTAGCATTATGTAATATATATATATATATATATATATATATATATATATATATATAAAATTTATTTTAGTTATAATAATTATTCGGGGACGGGGCGGGGCGGGGAGGGGTATCCCCGTCCCCATCCCTGTCCCCGCCGGGGAATTCAAAAATTCCCCATCCCCGTCCCCGATCCCCGAAATTTTTCCCCGTCCCCGTCCCCATCCCCTACGGGGCCGGGGATCCCCGACGGGGACGGGGCATATTGCCATCCCTAAGGAAGAGACCCTTTACACTTTATTATTTCGCTACCTCTTCTATTTCAGATTTCATATCCATGCACACAATGAACATTACACTCATCTGCTTGTTTACCTCTAGCATTGACAATGTTTTTTGATGTAATTTATTGTTTTCATTGATTGCTTACCTCAACTTTCTATATCTGTAAATCTTTAGGAATGTCATCCAATGCATCACAGTACTTTTCGTCACATTCAGATATCTGCTGCATAGACGTGTTGATGGTTTACAGTTAGTAAGATCACCCCTTGATTTACACACACACACACAAAAAAAAAAAAAAAAAAAGATAAAAGATAAGAGACCTCTTGATAATGGAACCTGTTGAGCATGTATGAGTGATACATGACCACAAAATCTTTTACAGCATAGACTTTACCTTTAATAGTTTTCTAAATTGTGGGACATAGTCTTTAGGAATGTTTACATGCACATATGTGCCTATAAAGAAAGAAAATATTATTTTCTAAATAAGAATGCATTGTTTGCAGGTTTGTAAAGAAAACATTACCTCAGTGTTTCGGCCTTCAAGTTCTGCAGATATCCTTCCCTAAGACGAATAATGGAGCCAAGATGAATAATGGAGAGCCATTTTCAGGTTATATCAAATGGATGGCAAAGTCTAAGCAGTGAATAACAAACATGCAGAGGGTTAATGCAAGGTGTGGATTGTTTATGGATAATTTAGTACTCCGTATTTTCGTTTTGGGGTCAAATTGTCATTTTGGTAACATAGGCATTTAAAAATAATATTCCAGCCTGCGTCGGTCCAGATAATCGATTGGCCGGTTGGCCCGTTACTGAGAAGAACCAAATTAGGGTCAGAAAATGAGGAGAGGTAAGAACACGATAGATCCAGTAAAATTTATGTGCGTACTTGTCTCTATTGTTTTCACCTTCATTCTATTCATTTCAATCCTCAAAATCCATGAACTTCCATTGAAGAAGGACAATGCAATCCTTTCATGGGGCGGTAAGAAAATCAAGTCGACTTCCAAAGATGCGAAAGTGGGGAAGTTCGGTGGAATGGTGATTGAGATGTTACCTGAAGATCTGGGGTTCACTTTATTTCTACCGTCGGAGGAAGCGTTTGAGCGTGATTTGGGACTGCGGTTAAACGAAAGCTTGGCGGAGGAGAAGGTGGATGATACTCATGCAGTACTTACTCGCGTGCTGGGGTTTTCCGCCTTGCCGAGGATCATTCATTTGGAGAATGTGGTTTCTGGGGAGGAGATTAGATATGATTCATTGTCTGGTTTCACTTTGTTGATTGTGAAGGATTCGAAGGGTTCATTGGTGGTCAATGGAGTCCGATCGGAAATGGTGGATTTAAGGAGAGGGAAGATTGTTGTTCATGTTATGAATGGTGTGTTAATGGATGCCGAGTTTGAACAGTCTGTTCGTCCAGATTATAGTGGAGGAGATTGATCTTAGTGTAGCTTCTAATGCACTGAAATTTGTTAAAACTCCTTGAAATTGTAGCTTGTAATGCAAAATGTACAATTGAAACTAAATATTTTCCAGGCTTGTTTATATTGAATGATATGATAGATTATAGTTCTTGTGTATATATCTGACAGATGTTGAACATTTCATCAAATTAGCTTTCTTATTGTAGGGTGTTGTTGAATCTTTCACCTTCGTTTATTGTCTTGCATTAGAAAGTTTATTAATGAATGTCACTTAGTTTCTTATCAAAAAGTGTAATTTTATGATGCACATCATCAATATATTAATTTAAACTTCAACTACCCAATTTCAAACTTCAAAAGTGAGATGATTTTCATAGTTCCCCATGGAAGTGGTACAGTCCCCAAATCTCAAGCTTAAGCTTTTGTTCAGACTTCAGATCAAATGAAAATAAAGAATACAGTTTAACTGTGTCTAAGAATACAGAAAGAAAGACACTCAACTATAAATTCTATTTTTAAGTTCCCAAGAACAACAATTTCAATTGTAGGAAGGGGAGTCGGGAGAAAAACAGTACGGTGCTAACATATTACGAAAGAACCCTCTTGGGCAACACATGAGGATGAAGTTGGGTTCAGATTACACAGTTAGACACCACTAGCCAAAAGCAGCAAATTGCTGATGCGTAAAGTTCATTTCTAGCTTCCAGCTGCGGTGGGTACAGCAACAGGCTTGGAGTCTTCTGCCTTCTCGTGTTCCTTGTTAAGCAGCTGAAATTATGAGAGAAAATCACGAGTCAAAATAGGTTTATGCAATATTGCGGGAAAGCCTTAAGAACAGAAGGAATCATAATTGGTGGGACTTGGGAGGGAAAAATAGGCATGCAAATAACTGCATAATGCATGCGTGTAAGCCTGTTACTTGACAATTACGGAGTACTTAATAGAACATGAACATGTTTTGAACAAGCAGTCATGCAGGTTGCCTAACATCTTGCTTGTCATGAAAGTCAATTTCAAGGATATTGATGCACATTAATAGTATATTCTGCATGCTTAATTAGTACTCCGTATCAAATTCTTAAGACACAAGGTCAGCAATAAACGTATCATCAGCTGTGGTATAGCAGTGAAAAATGCCTAAGGCCACACAACATGGTAAAACCTGCAGAAAAATGCATCCAAAAAACAAAAACAAAAACAAAAACAAAACAAAAATACCTTGTTGTTAATCAGGTTATGAAGAGCAATCACACTCCGAATAAGAGAAGACAAATATATGACCAACATCATATCATTTGTTTTAACTGCAGCAAGAAAACAAATAAATAGTTCCAGGTTAAAAGAAGAGGAAAGCATCACACAATTTTCCAGAAGCATATTAGATATTCTGTCAATTCACCTGCAAAGGATTTAATCAACTCAGCCACATTAAGATTTGGAAGTAGGTTGAAAACATCCTGCAAATAGAATTTGATAAATTAAATATATTACGAACTGCGTTTGACAGCAGTAAAATAATGCAAATCACTGCAAGGTGGCATTGGAAGAAGTCACATGGATACATTTTTTCTTCCTTTTGTGGTCAAACAAGTGATATGGCAAGAACGTTATCATTGGCATATCAAATTTATGTGAAAACACTATTGGTTTACCTGTAAGTGGTACAGAATCTCATGATTCAATGGAAGTCTCCCATCGACGACAAGTTCAAGGTAACTCCGAATCTCTTGAAGGCGAGCATCCAAACCCTTCAATGCTGCAAGTTTCCCAGTTACCTGTACAAGCCATCACTAATTTTAAGTTTTTTCAAGAAAATTTAAATTTGATCTCAAAAATTTTAGTGAACATCCAATTATTCTTAAAAGTAACAATTGTCCAAAACAATTAGATTTGGTTTCAATTTGGTCCTGAACCCACTTTTCTGTCCAAAATGGAGTGTTTTCAGATAACAAATTATTATCATGTGCACAGAGGTAAGGTTACTGTGGACATAACATTTTTAAGGGAAAACTCGGGTGGAATTGCAAATAACAAAAACAATTTTCCTTGAATGTATAACTTATTCACCTAGTGTTTCAAACTTTTTAGTACTAGTTTCAATCTTGTTTCCTATTGATATGCTTGGATTATTTATGGGTGATACAATTGTGTTCTCAAAATTTTTTTCATGTTGATTACTATAGCAGCATTTGAATTGTCAAAATAAGTTTTTGGTTTTCATTGTAGTTATTATTGACAATCACTGTGAAAATCTTAAATGTTTTGTGGGCAGGGACATCTTCGAGTGTGATGGAACAAGTTCTGGATGGAAAATTGGTATTTTTGCCTCTACTTTTATTTTTATTTTTCTGTAATTGAATTTTGGCACTACTTTTCTACTCCAAAATAAGATCCCTAAAATACTCTTACCATTGTGAACATGGGAGTCATGTTAAAACCTTGTCCAGTTTGTCTGGAATGTTCAGTTGATTGAAACCAAAATTAATCATTAATAACTAAGTTGAAACCACTAGCTTTCAAGGACCACAATGAAAAACTTATTAGAATTTAGACCAAACTTAACACATACTGAAATATTATCTAACATTTTTTAATCTGCAAATAATATTTCAGCTTAAGTTCAAGAGTAGTAATTTTTATCCTTCCACACACACAAAATGAGTTAATAAGAGAAAAAGAAACCTCTGTCGCAAGAGTGCTGATTGTAGTATCTTTGACATCCCTCAGCAAGTGTTCAACCCCTATTCATCAGCAAAAGAAGTGGTAAAATGCAGAAACAAGATTGTAGTCCACAGACAATGGAGAAAAGTCAATGAAAATGGGGCAAACAAAAGAGCAAACGGAGCACAGCCCGGCTGGGCAGGGTTTAGGTGATGACAACACCCCCAAACCCCACCCACCCAACAATGAAAACAATCTACCAAAAAGGGATAAGCCAACTGACCGATCTCTTCAACTTCATGGGCAGCAATTTCTGAAGGCACGTGCACAAAGACCTTCTGACTCTTTTGTGTTGCATTCTGCAAGTTTGTGCAACCGATAAATAAGTCTCAGTTAAGACAGTTAGAGCACTAAATTGTGCTACCAGTGAATGGAAAGAATCTCCCAGTTCTGGTTAGTTTCTTTTCCTTCCTCAAAAGGCAAGGTAAAAGTTTTTATGTTCTTACCTCTTTTACTTCCTCAACAGCATAGTACGCTTTAGTTGGTATGCCAAGCTCCTTAGGCTGAACATCAATAATAACCAAGACTGGAGTAGGAACATAGCTGCAATAATACCAGTATAGCATTTTATTAGACAATAAGTTTGGAACAACAATAAATGGTACATTGCTTTTTATTAAAAATATATTGTGCACATGTACCACAAGGAACTTTTTCCACAATTAAATCACAATCCTAAAAAATAAAAAATAAACGCAGAAACTAGAGGATGAGTCTAGGTCCTAGGTTACTTATCATAATTTGCTCTGAAAAATTTAAGGACATACTCATTGAAGAGTGCATGGATGTTCAGATCATTTTGGCGTAGTTTTGGACCAGTGCTGTACCATCCAACAACATGCTCCTTGGCTGAGACAAATTACAAATCAATTTAGCTAAATACAATGAAATGGATGCATACTTCTTTAAAATTCCAAACGAGAAATAAGTGTGGTGATACCATTTATTCTACGGAACATGGAAAACATTGCGCCATGGTAGTCATGGTCAAGGAACCAGATGCTTGGATCCTTGTCATCTTCTTCAAAAGGCACTGCATGTACAAGCAAAACATTCAGAAACAGACAATATATGCATGTCTACAAGAAAACAACAACCAACTCCAGAAGAGTCAAATGCACATATTCAAAAACCACAAGCAATGCATAATTTCTGGCAAACATTAGCAGCACTTGCTTCATAATCCACAAATTTCTCATTAGGGTTCAGAACTCTAACACCAGCAAGGCCTTGTAAACTATGCTACACCAAAATCTAGTTCGAGAACTACTAAATAAATGCACCTCAAATACAGACAACCTAATTTGGTAATTCCAATTTCCAGCCTAGACTACCTTTACTTCAGACATACAAGACAAAAACAAACTCCTCGGTAATATCAATGCCAGCATAACCAGCGATAATTTAACCTAAGTTTTCAAATCGAACAATATCTTCAATTTCACAAGTTACAGCTATCCAAGCTCGCTAGCACAAATAAACCAAAATTTAAAAAACAAAAACAAAAAGCAAGGAAAAAGGTGAGTCAGATCTTGACCTGCGTAGCTGTTGGTAACATCGACGGTGCCTCTGGATGAGTTTCCGAGCAAGACGCCGACGACGCGCTTCTTAGTGTCGCGTGCGACGCGATTGTAGTGGTCGACGACGCTGAGGAGAACAAGCGGGTGGACTATCACCTTCTCGATCGGCCGCGAAGATATTTGCTGCGATTTTATTACGTCCATTTCTTCCTCCTTCGATTCGATTCGATTTGAAGAAAAACTGGAAAACCAAACTTGAGCTCCACTCCAACAACGACGAAGCTTTAGAAAAGAAAAAAAATATAATTAGTACGGGAATTCCCGAATTTATAACAAATCTCGGGGGACTTGTCAGAGTTCTTTTGAAATTTTTGGACTCGATTTTTAGTATTTTGGGTGGGCTAATATAATTGGGCCACCCGAAATTGGAATATTTGGGACATCTCAAAGTTTGGCCCATATTAAAAATGGATCTGAATATTATCCTATGTGGAATGACGGGGTGGACCTGACAAATTATTGGTCCACACAGTGTTATGTGGACCATAGTAAAAAAAACATTTTTAATATATTAAATGGACATTATCTTTGTACTGAATGTACATTATAAAATATAATGTACACTGAGTACAAAAATAATGTACATTCCCTGAATGCAATGTACATTATTTTTGTGCTGAATGTACATTATTTTTGTACTAAATGTACATTATGTTATAGTTACAAAATATGGTCCACACAACTTATATGGACCTTGGTCCACACAATAATGATTGGGTGGAACTTGGTCATCAAATATTCAATATTGAGTTAGGGTTCTAACTTCTTCTCCCATTTGATGGTTTTATTATGCCCATACCCAATACAAGTTGGATAAAGTGTGAAAAAAAGTGTTTATTGCTTTCCGTAAAAAGAGTTCTAAACCCTTTGTAAGCTTTTTTTCAAGGTATTTATACCTCTCAAATTTAACTATAGTACTCGACCTAAATTAAAAATAAACAAATAAATAAATCCCTCAAATCATGTTGTTTAATTATAACAAATTGATTGTCTTTAAAAATAAGAAAATAAATTTAAAAACTTGATAACTTCTGTTCAAGTGCAAATCGACTGCTCTTCCCTACATAGCATTTTAACTGTTCTTAGGGTTGAGCTCCAATGGCATTGCTGCTTGTGATTGCGGGAATATCATGCATGCTCTACTTTTCTGATTGTACTGTTCTCTTGGTTCTAAAAAGCACTAATATGATAGCTCACACTTTAGCTATAGTAGCATATTCTCAAACTAACATATTGTATTGATTTGACATTGTCCAACTTGACTTTGTTTTCAATTCTTATGCAATAATCTATTTCTAGTTTTATGAGAATAAAAAAGCTTAATTCATTAAATCATCAGCAGGACAATGAACAAGACAAAGATGAGGAATATCAAATCACTCCTCGCAACTTGACTCAGAAATGGCTTCCGAACAATAATGTGGGCGGCGCAATTCGCGTATAGCTTAACAAACCGAAATTCAACATCAATAATCAAAGATGTTAATTCTTTAATATCGTCTCCTACTATTAAACCAAAAGCAGATAAAAAAAAAAATGAAGGACTAGAAGTAGCCTTAAAGAGTATTTGTGAATCTATTTCCACATCAACTTCACCCATTAATCCCATATGTTTGAACCAACTCAGAGCTTCCCTCATGCTAAAGGCTTCGGCTTCCTTTACATCATAAATACCATGCACACACATATTCTTCGCAACTAGGAACACGCCATGATCATCCGGAAGAACCCATCCAAGCCCCATTGTATTATTAGCTTGGTCTTGAAATAAGTTGACGTGTCTTGAAAACTCAAACTGCAATTGACCTCTTGTACCAAGGCCGAACTCTAAACCTCTTGCACCCAACACATCATATATTATCGCCATCACTATCAATAATTAATTAAATCACTTGAACGGGATAGGAGCTAATGTAGTATATGAAGCAAATATAAATTGTTATTGGTTAATATATTTTGCCAATTGGGATCGGACTTGCAAACAACCAAACTTGGGAATATATATACTACCATTAAACTATCGCCCCACTTGCAATCTAATATTTCATCAATGCAAACGACAACTTGGACCGACTCACTTGCATAATTATATTAACCAAGTAAAAGTTGAAACCATAATTAATCCTACTTGCTGAGGATGTGATCAATTATATATCGACAAGCATATACTATATTTTAAATAATTAATTAAAACAATGTCGGACCAAAAATCATATATGATATGTGTGCTGGCTGCACCATTTAGAACATGCACTCACTCCAATCGTCAAACTGCCCACGAGGCAATTGTTGCATTTTTGGCGACGTGCACAAATAATAATAATAATTCTTATATTCCTCGAAAGAGGATATATGCACTACTCTTTCCAACCCTTCACGTTTTCACACACAAATATTAAACTATCCGACATAGTAAACACAAAGATCAAACTAAAATTAAAATAAAAATAAAAATAAAAAACATTATTTTTACAAGATGATTTTGATATTTAATTTATGAGAAAGTTCGCATCTAAAGATCAGATGATGCACCAAAGGAACGTGGTACAATTGTTAACAATAGCATGGATGGTTTTTCTTGAACATCATGAGCTAGCTTAGCTAAATTCGAAACCCTAATGATATGTATATGGAATCAAAGGAAGCTTAGACGAAGATCTAACATAGGATTATGATGATGATACACTTCGGCACCATTAATGGTGTATCCAAATGAAGAATTTTCCTTGTTATTGTTGCATCCATCTTCTTCGTTCCCGAAAACTCTCAGTTTCTCCGGTTCTGATTCAGATTCCCTTGTTGAGTTCAAGGGAAAGAGTTGCAGAGTCTCTATCACTCTTTCTGCATCAGATACTTCATTGTATTTGGTATTTATGTCTGAAAAACCTGTTTAATAAACATAATTAGAAAAAAGAGTGATATTTGACTGATCAATGATTTTTTTTTTAAAACTAGTGACGAGTGAAACCCGCAACAACTATTAAAGGTGTACACTGATTTGTGAATTGAACTTGTAATATTGTGATTACTAAGTCAACAACCAGACTGTGGAAATCAATGAATAAAGCTACTAAGAGACGAGGAAACTTACGTTTGGTTGATGGGATATTGGTATCCTTACGTTGGTGTTGGGGAATAAGGTTATCTTCCTTGGTTTCGTCGACCAAGACGACTCTGCGACGCTTCTGTCGCTCTCTGGCTTTATGGTTTTGGAACCAATAAAACACGTTCTTACTCTCAATCTTGCCGTAAAAGCTGAGCTGAGAAGAAATCTTTTGGATCTGATCGGTGGTCGGAGTTCGGAGCCCCGACCTGAAGAGCTCCGTCAGAACTTTAACCTGCTCACTGGTCGGATTCCACCGCCCACATTTACTCCCTCCGCCGCCGCCGCCGCCGCGTGGCGCCCCAACATAAAATCCCGACATTCCCTCTTCCATACCCTCTACCTACCCAATATGTATACCCTATTCACACTTCTTTTGAAGCTTTTGATTGGATCTTTACTTAGCTCCTTACTGGAAATTAAAGCAATTCAAAGAGTTCATACCGCTTTGCATGGATATATATAGACATATATATAGTCCACCATGGAGGCATGGAACCTTATTTAATTAATATTTTCTATTTTCACATTTAAAAAAAAATAAAAATCTATAGTTAAGTTAAAGATACTCACAAAACAAAGACAGAAACAAAACAAACAAGATTTATATGGTTGGAAATGTATATGTACCTATGTCAAGGGGTATACTGTTGATTTGGTAACTAAAAAGTTAAAAGTTTTGCTCTCTCTAAGAATGGTTTATAATCCTATTGGTCTTTTTGATTTGAATTTGTTAGTTATAGACGACAAATTATATTATGGACCAGAGTTTTTCCTGTATTGTGGACCATGATCTAATAAAATGATATTTAGATTATGTTTTTGCCTTTAATATATTATGTGCCTTTACATGCATATAATTTATAAATTGAAAGCATATAATATATTAACGGTAGACACGTGATTTTTAAAGCAGGATCCACAATATAAAGTAGACCTCGGTCTGTAATATAACAATTGGTTATTGACAACGTATGTTGCTGCAACTGATGGACAACCTATATTGGTTTACTCCACTGTACTATGGTGGTTGCGTATTTCTCTGATTGCTCAAGAAATGAGCATACATCCATGCGAGCAAAGCAGTTATTTATTGATTGAGATGATAATACATTTAAGATTACAGGTATCATATTTATATGTAACTATAACTTACGGTACATTTACAAAATCACCATTTTATCATATTGCTTCACTCATTGCACTCCTCTCCATTATTACATTCCAATACATGATATCTTCTAGTAACATATGAGACATATCTAATAGTATCTATTTAAACATATAATTTGAGATGATATTTATTATTATATTAAAAATTGGAAAAAAAAAATGAATTTTGGGATCTAAGATGGGCAGAAGGGTATAGGGTTTTGTTTTATTTGTGAATTGTGAGAGTGGTGCAGTGCGTTGAAATTACGGAAAGTTAGGGTAGGGAATTGAGGATTGTTTTTTGCATAGTTTTTTGTGCAGAGGAGATAGACATGCACAAAAGCTGCCACTGTTCAAAGTTTCGGTCTGCGAGAAGACAAACAAGTGAGTCCGATCCTCAATTTTTGCATTTTAATATGTACATTATTGTTTATACTAATAATGTACTAATATAATTACGTGTACTAAGCTACTTTGTTTAATAAACATTTGTTTTGTTGCCCAGGATCGATGCTGCAATCCAACGTCTCTTTCCTTTTTCAAGTTTTAGTGGGATTTTTGTGCAGATATAGACCCTGTTTGGTAAAAAATTGGTTTATAGGCCAATTTTGACTTATTTGACCACTATTAATTGTTTGATTTAGTTAAAATATCAATATAAATGTTTGGTTAATTAGTTTTTTGCAACTCTAATAGGCTAAAATTAAAAAAGCTACTCCTAGCAACTTTTTCAATTAGTTTTTTGAGAAAAGAAATTATACCAAACAGCTATCAGGTAACAGCTAATTTACCAAACACTTTTCTACAATTAGCTAATGTTATCAACTATTTATACCCTCTAATTAATACAATAAGCTACCAGCAAACAGCTATCAGCAAACAGCCATTTTACCAAACAGGGCCATATTCTTTTGAGTTGGTTGCAGTTTGTGTGTATAAACCAAGTCTATTCATATAATAATATGTTCATATGTTTGATCACTTGTGATTAA